GAACACAGGACCGATGCTCGGTCGGCGTAAGCGCGTACGCCCACGCATCCACGCCCTTTGTCCTCATGCGTGACGTCTAGGCTTTACTGGAGACCTGCTCCAGGCGATCTGTGCGCGACGCAAAGGCGATCTCAGCCCCTTCAGAGCCGTGCGAACTTTGAGCTGTCAACCGACTCTCGGCCTCTCGGACAGGCAGTCCCTCGCGTGTGGCTTTACACGCTCCTCTCCTTTCGCGCCTCATCTTCTGCCGTGCTTGCTCCCCGCCGCCGTGTCGATCAACACGAGCATCCCAGCCGCTCAGGCTTCGAGCTTTGTCTCCAATGCTGTACCGCAGCATCGGCAGGCACGAGCAGAGAGCGAAGTGGAGCTGCAGCAATGCGCCGCCTGCCGGCCTTTTTCCTCGGCCTGCAGCGCCCATACACGCATTTGCCGCTGCACGCGCCGCGGCGTTGCCTAGAACTGCTGGGCGACGCTTGAGCTGCTTGTGCTGCACGTGCAAGAGAAGCACCAAGGTTGCGGCTGGGCGCGGCTGGGTGCTGAGCGCTGCCCTTCAGGGGCACGGGGCAGGAGAGAAGGTCGTGCGAGGGCGCGTTTCTGGGCGCGCTCCCGAGGAGTGCGGTGGACGCTGGGCGCTCAGGCAGGAGAGCAGTGTCGCTCAATGAGATTCGCGGCGCTGCAGCGCCGATCGCTGGCGTACTGCTCCAGAGGGCACCGGAGCAGTGTGCGCGCATCGGAACACGCGGGGGCTTGGCAGTGCGCCAGGCACGCAGCGCGCACCCTTCCGTGCAGCTGGCGTGCCCCACGGCGCGCGCGGCCTGCGGCGAGGAAAAGGGCGCCGGGTCTTGGCGTCCGTCCACCCGCTCTCCGCTCTGCGCCCGCCGCCCGCCGCTGCCGCCGCCCGCTCGACGCAACACGCCGCACCGCCGGCCACGCGCGAGGCAAAGCAAGGCGCCGTCGGTGGCGCAGCTGATGTGCTGCTGGCCCTTGCTGCACCCGTGCTAGGCACCGAGGCAGCAGGACAGCACGGTGCGCGCGCATCGGCGCCTGCTGCGCCGATGGCGATGAGGAGGGCCTCGCGCCTCTGCCTCGGCTCGCCCGGCGTCGGCGCCGGACGCCCGTCGACAAGGCGGCAGGCATGACAGGATGGCGAGCAGCGGGAGTGTGAAGTTGGTGCTGCGCGAGCATCCAGATCGGCTGGCAGGACAGGGGGCCGCAGAAGAGAAGGCGGAAGGAGGGAGATGCACGCCGAGAGCGCCGCGGCGCTGCACCACGCGTGCGTCGCGGCGGCACCTCCTGGGGCTCGGCGTGCCAAGCATCAGGTGCAGTTGCAGCTCTGGCAGGCGCCGGCCGCGGCAGCCGCAGCGTCAGCGAGCGCCGCCGGCGTGCTCTCTCAGTGCTGCTCTGTCCGCACCGCACCGCACAACGCACACCGCACAGCCAGGCAGCCAGACCCTTGCCGTCGCCACGGCGTCTCCTCCTCCCTTAACACCACCACCCTTCTCCCCACTCTCTCGCCGCGCCCCACCTCTTCATCACACACACAACCATGCCTCGCCTCAGCCTCGCCTCGTCTGCCGCGCTCGCCGCGCTCGCCGCCTCGTCAGCCTTTGCCCAGGGCGACCCCGAGGCGGCGACGGCCATCCTGCGCGGCCGGCCGACCAAGTCGTGGCAGCCGTGGCAGCCCAAGCCGACGTATGCGCTCAACGAGCTGCCCGACTACTACATGGGCGTCAACCGTGCCGGCAACGGCATTGACCAGGTGTGTGTGTGGCACGCGCGCGTGTGCACCATCGCCGCCATTGTGCCATACTGACACACCCCTCGCCGCGCCAGTCCGGATGGAACATCTGCGCACGCAACGCATGGAACCAGGAGTCGCGCTGCCAGACGGCCTGGATCAACTCGCTCGAGGACTGGTGCATCTGGGGCCCGCCCGAGGGCGGCGACATTGGCAGCACGGAGCGTGTGGCCGTGGCGTTCTGCACGACGGACAAGCACGGCACGCGCCTCATTCCCGACGGCACCATCACGGGCGCCCACTTTGTGCAGACGTCGAGCTACGGTGAGTGGCGCGGGCCAGAGTGTGCGCCGCGTTGCCATTGGCAGGCACAGCGTGCTGACCCATGTCCCATGTGCGCGCAGTGCAAATCACCGGCACTGGCGACTTCACCAAGATCGGCCTGCCCGAGGGCGACCAGGGCGGCGAGATGGACTCGCACGGCGCAGACGACCTCAGCAACCCCGTCGGCGGCATCGTCTACACGACGGCCAACCCCGCCACCAACGGCGAGCCCTTCTTCGTCAGCGAGTGGACCAACTTCATGAGCCACAACCAGTACTGCATGCGTGCCTGCTGGGGCGACGACGCGCGCGAGCGCTGCCAGCACATCTACGACGGTGAGTCGCCGCCGCCGGCCGAAGCAAAGCGGGGCGTGTGGCGGTTAAAAGAGACAGTGGGGGCTGATGTCAAGTGACGCAGTGCTCGGATGCCAGTGGAACCTGCCCGCCAACTACAACCCCAACGAGTGGGAGTCGTGCGACGGCGACCGTGGCCTTGTGCAGGGCGTGTACGAGGGCTCGACGGTGAGTGGTGATGCTCTGGCACACCCCATCCGCCTCTCTCGCCCTTGTGCTCACCCTCCAATGCTTCTGCTGCAGTTCATGCAGGGCGACGCCGTGACGCCCTCGGCGCACCCCGTGCCCGCCTCGTCCAACTGCCGCACCGCCAGCTCCCTCTCGCACGGCCTGCTTCTCGGTGCGTACCCGGCCTATTCCAGTGTCGTCGGCGCCGTGGGCTCGCAGCCCGAGGCCTCTTCGCGCGCGAGCGCTGCCTCTACGACGGCGTCGAGCTCGAGCACGAGCACGAGCAGCTCGTCGATGTCTAGTGAGCATCGCGCGTGCCCCCCCCCCCCTTTGCCCTGGAGGTGGGACTCGCAGCAGCAGTACGCCGAACGGCGTGTCATTTCGCCCGTGGTGTCGCTCTCGCCGTGTCGTCTTCTCTCCCTTCCTTCAGAACCCTTCACTTACGCCTGCGTTGCCCCCCCTTGCAGCTTCCGCCTCGGCCGGCTCCACCGCCACCACGTCGGCCTCCTCCTCGATGGCCACGTCCGGCACCTCGTCTGGCACGACGCGCGCCCCGGCGGCCACCAACCAGGTCGCCTCGTCCAACAACAACCAGAACGCCGCCGGTGCCGCGGCGCCGCTCGCGTGGTTCGGCGCGGCGGCCGGTGCCGTGCTCGCTGGCGCCGCGCTGCTCTGAGGCAGCGCACGCTTTGCTTGATGCTCTCGTCATTGCTCGTTACGACCCCCACACCACTAGTCTTCATGCATCTTCCCCACACTCGCTTCTCCTTCCCTCTCATTCCTGCCTCTTGTTCCTCTCCTCATAGTCTTCCCCCGCCAGCCTCATCACTACCCTCGCCCGAGGACTCGCAGACGCTGGCCTGGGCTACGCTTGACCCTGCCGCCGCTGCACACACTGCGCGATGCGATGCGCCGTCTACCGATCACCCCAGCTGCCCTCTTGCAAATTGTACATATCATAAAGCCTCAGCCGAGCTCCGTCCGTGTGCGCCGCCCCGCGCGTGGAGCGATCTAGGGCAGGTAGCCTTGCTGTCGATTGCCGTACTGCGTGCCAGCAAGGGAAGACATGGGATCAGCGCCAGCTTCGGCAGCCAAGGATCACGGACGTGGAGTGAGACGCACGTAGAGCAACTTGGAGTTGTTCTCCTCGTCCGTCCAGAAGCGATGCTTGGCGTCGGCGTCTGCCGCGTCGCTGCCCACGCGTTCCTTCCACGCCAGCATCTCGCCCAGCTTCCTGTCGCGCGTCTCGATGGCGCCCCAGGCGCGTGCGCCCTCGTCTGCGGCGTAGCTCTGGCGCGCCGCCGAGGAGAGAGCGCCGAACTGCGCGCGGTCGCCGAAGGGGTGGATGAGGAGATCGGCGGGCGACGAGGAGGAGGAGGAGGAGTGGGAAAGAGGCGTCCATGGCGAGCCGCCGTGCGCAAAGGTGGAGAGGCAACGCATGATGTGAAGACTCAGCTGTCGCTCAGCTGCGCGTGGGGAGGAGAGAGAAGGGGCAGGTCAGAGAGAGAGTGGCCGCAAGCGCCAGGTCCGAGGACAAGCGAACTCGCAAAAACTGACCAGGCGTGAAGCCACGTCCTTCCTGCTGCGTCTCATCGAGCGCAGGCTGTTCCGTGGCAGCTGGCGCATCCCACGCCACGCCGTACGCATCGCCCGACACCCAAATGTGTCTCTCGGTGCCGTCGCCGCCCCAGAGATACGGCAGGTCTGCGCAATGGCTATGGGCGTCCGGGTCTTGTCAGTTGACGGCAGTGTAGAAGCGAGGATCGAGCGTATACGCTCCGGCAAGACTCACAGCGCAGACATCTTGCCCAGCAGCTCAAAGCCATACGAATTCTTCGCCCACGAGCGCAGCAGATCCTTGCTGGGCGCATGGGCAAAGACGTAGCCGTATGCCGGCGGTGCCTGCTTCGAGACCAGCGCGCCCATGGCGGCTCGAACGGGCGCTTGGAAGAGTGCGCTTCCTGTGCTGTTGCGATGGGTATGGTGGGGTCAGGGAGGTGCTAGTGAAAGAGCCGGGGGGGGGGGGGGGGGGGACGTACTAGTCGGAACAAACGGCCCATGCCACCTCATCCGTCACTGAGTCCGCGCCGTACGTCTTGCGCAGCGCCGGCTGGAGCGTCGGATTGAAGCGCGCGATGTGAGCGTCGACCTGTTCCTTCGTTTGAATGAGCGGACAAAAGAGTGTGCCTTCGTCGATGGCATAGCCCAGCATGATGCCTCCTTGTCCATTCTTGCGCGCTTCACCTGCAGCAGGAATGACGGCCTTCGAGAGGCGTTCAAAGTCCTTCGACACGGCCACGCCGTCCCATACTGGACCCCACAGCGAACTCGGGGCCATTCGGACGTCTTGCGAGCCGGCACGATCGAGCGGCCGGCCCTCGGCCTCGTTGACTTCATACTCTGTGCGCGGACGCGCGGCGGGCAGAGCAGCTGCGGCGTGGAGCAGCTGCGTGGCATCCATGGCGCGCAGCTTTGCGAGGCGCGAGGCGTCGTCGTCGGGCCCATCTTGGGGCAGGAGCGCATCGAACGTGGCTTGGACGCTCGGCAGGGTGCGAGGCATCACCGTCGTGACGACGCCCGACTGCAGGATGACGCGCTGAAAGAGTGCCGCTGGAGTGGCAGGCGAGAGGAGGAGGTAGTGCTGCATGATGCTCCCGGCACTTTGCCCGAAGAGCGTCACGTTCTCCCCGTCTCCGCCCAGATACTCGGCGTTGGCCTGCACCCACTGCAGCGCGGCGATGCAGTCGTGCATGGCGTAGTTGCCGCAGCCTGCTCCCTCTGCTTCTGCCGCGAGCGCGCGCGAGCCGAGGAAGCCAAAGACGCCCAGACGGTAGTTGCAGCCGACGACGATGCAGTTGCTCTCGTGTGCGAGGCGCGCGCCGTCGTGCATCGCCATGCTGGCGCCGCCCGAGACGAAGGAGCCGCCGTAGATGGCGAAGAGAATGGGACGCTTGCCTCCTTGGTGCGGGACACGCTGCGGCACCCAGACGTTGAGATAGAGACAGTCTTCCGAGTGGCGCAGCCCCTCTCGATGGGGCCACGCCGCCGTGCCGAGCCCGTCGAGCTGCGCAGGGTCAGGCGCGAAGCTGCTCTGCCTCACGCCCTCCCATGAAGGAGAGGGACCCTGAGGGGCACGCCAGCGCAGCGCGCCGAGAGGCGGCTGCGCAAAGGGCACGCCGAGATAGGCGTGCACGGCGCCCGCGTGGCAGTCGGCGTCGGGGCGCGAGGAGAAGGCGGCGAGGTCGAGACGGCGCGGCGCGATGCGGCCCTGCGGCAGGGAGAGGATGCCGGACATTGGGCGCGCGTTGGGGCGTGTGCGGTGGAGTGAGGGTGGGCAAGGTAGAGAGGAGGCCAGACGCCGAGGTCGGAGGCAGCAGTCGCGAGTGTGAGGCAAATGTGGGGAAGCGGCGTCGGCCTCTTGCCGCTCCCGCTCGCCGGCGCGCGGCGGTCACCGGCCCGACGTGGGCGGCAGCGGCAGCGGCGCTTGTCGGCCGTCGCCGCCGAGCGCCGCCTGCGCTGCTGGTGGAGCAGATGCAGGTGCCTCCGTGCTCTCGAGCCCACAGCCGCGCAGCGTGCAGGGGCCACTGCGACTCGCCTCTTCTGCTTCTCCTTCCACGCGCCTCGCTTCCTCTCCCCCTCCACCCCCTAGGCCTGGCCTTGCCCCCGACTGCAGGCTGCCTCCTCGCCATGCCAGCTCCCGCCGCTGCGCCTGCCGCCGCCGGCGCCGCCGTGCGTGCGCCGCCCGGCACCGGCACCGCGCGCGCCGACGCGCCCGACTGGCGCCTCAGTCTGCTCAAGGCCGCCGCCGTGTACCTGGCGTTCCAGGGCATTGCTGGACGTGCGTGTGACCCTTTGCGTCGCTTGTGTGGCGCTGAAAGAGGGCATGATGGGCTGACGCTGAGAATGCACGACGACAACAGCAAACGGACTCATCGCCGCTTGGCAGGGCAAGACGAGCTTCCAGCAGAAGGCCTCGCCCGCCGCGGCCGCCTCTGCGCCCGCCAGTGCGCCGCCGCCGCACGTCTTCTCTGCGCCGCAGCCGCGCGGCGGCGCAGTGGGCGCAGGCGCAGCGACGAGCAAGTGGAGCAGCAAGGCCGTCGCCTTTCCGCATCCGCGCCTCGCGCCCGGCGCGCCGCTCGACGTCTATCTCTTCCTGCACGAGGCGGGCGCACCCACGGCGGCCGATCTCGCGACGCAGTACTCTGCGCTGGTGCCGCATGGCAGCGGTGCCTGGAGTGGTCTGAGCAGCAGCAGCAGCGGCAGCGGCTCCTCCGAGCCTCTCGACCTCTCTGCGTCGGCGTATGATGCGTTGCTGCGCGATCCCATGCACACGGCCATCTACGCCGGCAGCGCCGCCGAGGGCAGACTGCCGGCCGTCAAGTGGCGCAACATTACGATTGCGGACTGGACGCTCGCACGAGACGTAGACGTCACCATCGAGCTCTCCGAGAATGTGCGCCTCCACAACGGCAGCATCTGGGCAGATGTCTTTGCCGTGCCTGCCGATGCGCAGCTGAGAGAGATGGCGAACAGAGAGGAGGTGGCGACTATGAGGATGCGCAGACGTGAGTCACATCGAGGCTTTTGCCCCCCC